ATGCTTTTATTCGAAATATTATTTTATTATAAATATCTTAAATATTATGGACATAATTACGAAACATTGCCTTTTAATTAATTTTTTTTTACAGATTTCATTTTATATAAACAAGTTTGAATATGCATATAACGATAAAATCTACCTCTTTTTTTAATAGATCCATTTTGATGAAAAGAGCGTCTAAAACATACAGGGTGGGTAACCGGTAACGATTCGGTCTGTGGAGCCAAAACTATTTGATTTTTATTAAATCTGTTTTCACAGCAAGATGTATATCAGAAAAGTCAACAATTTAAAAATAATTGAATTACACAGGGTTCTCTAAGAAAGTGATACGTTCAAAGTTAGGTGTTTTTAAATGGGAGACAGCCTCTATTTTATTTTATATTTATTTATTATACTACCCAACAGTAATCATTATTTACTACTGGGTGGGAAAGATAAAACAGAATAATAAATACAAAAATTTTAAGAATGTGAAACAAGAAGCTATAGAATCCATAAAAAAAAGCTGATCGAACACAGGATAAAAAAAATGGTTGTCTACATTGCATGCTTTACATCATTTTTGTTACATTGTTAAAGGTTAGATTTTTTAACAGGTATGTGCTGATTAAAAGTAATAAACAATTTATTATTCAATAGTTGAACATTTTCATCAACACTGCTTGCTGAATCAAGAAAAGTTGAATTGATATTGAGTATTGCGTTGTATAATTTTGAAAATCTGCTTTTTTATAATTACACTGCTACACTTAACCCTAATTTTAATGGGGACATCAATACGCAAAGACTACTCCATCAGCTTTATATACATGACATGCTGAATTTGAGAAAACTAAGTCAAGCAGACGATGATATGTATTTTGTATCAAATTGAAATGATTTAAATTGACAAAATTCGCAAATGTAGAATTGTTTGAGAAATATACTCTGGCTCATTGAAATCTTTTATAACATCTACGTGGTTCAACAGCACAGTAAATTGGACAACCAAAATCAATATATTTGAATTGCCTTCGCATTTCCCACTATAAAATAGTTAAACATTAAACAGGGTATTTCACACGATACAACCAATTTTATATAATCATATTGATTTCAATGGGTCCTATGATTGAACGTTTACGTTATTCGTAACGTACATGTTAGGCCGAGTTTTAACAGTAATGAGGCAAGTTCGTATGATGAAAAACTTTTTCCAACACGTTATTGTTATTTTCCGCCTGTTATCTTCTAATTTAACAGTTTTCCATCATCCGAACTTGCCTCGTTACTTTTAAAATTCGGCCTAACATGTTCGTTACGGATAACGTAAACGTTCAATCATAGCACCCATTAACTTGTATAGTGCGAAAGAAACCATTGAAAACCAATTTGTTTGCGATCTAAAGTTTTAGATATTAGTCAAAATGTATACCGATGTACTACTTTTTTAAATTAGAAACAAATGTGTACAGGGTAAGTCAACACTCAAATCCATCATTTGCTCAATTTTTTAAATTGACCACCCTGTATTTTAATAATAATAATAATAATAATAAATTGCCTTTATTTGCTTGTAATATACAATGCACATAAACATCATGAGGCGAAGTCTAGCTTGCGCTACTCAACTTAACCTCAACATCACCTTAATTAAAGTTTAATTTGACTCAAGCATTTCAAAAAATCATATAGTTTTGGCTTTACAAACCGAGGTGCTACCGGTGTGCTACGTATATTAGAAAATTGATAAGTGAATATTTAAAACGGCACATTTTGAGTAAAACACCGAAAAAGAGTCGATCCAAAATGTTGCACTTAACCAGCTGACGTGCAATACAAATTGCCGCAATTTTGATTGCAAGGAAAAAAAATTGCGAGCCATAAAGTGGCTCTCTAAAATGGTTTTAAAAATTAAATATTGTTTTCTTCTACAAATTAAAGCAGGCCTGCACAACATACTACCCGCGGGCCGCTTGCATCCCGTCATTGTCGATTTCTTGGCCCTTTGCCCCTTTGGCCAGCCTACATCAAACTATACATTTGTTGCATTTTTTAATTGGCTTAATAGATTTCAAATCGTGGTAAAACACAAAAAACTTACTGAATAAAATTTTGATGCAAGTACTTAAAACTTAATAAATGTTTATTTTATTTAAAAAATATAAATAAATAAATAATTTTTTTTGAGCCTCATGATCAACGTATTCGAGTGTTGCACCTGCGAAAATCCTTCGCCTACACCCCCTGCCAAATAAAAAAAAAATTACATCCGTTCTTGGCCCTTGTACACCTACGGTTTTTTTGGACTGGCACTTTGAAAATCTCAGTTGTGCAGGCCTGAATTAAAGTCTAAAAATCTGGATGGACTGTTTCTGGTATCCAATTCACGGTGTACCTTAAGTATTTATTTGCTAGTACCACAGAATCAAATTCAGATGGATAACGATATATTTATATACACAGCTCTGTTCGGGAATCATTAAAATTCATTACACCTCATTATTAAATATTAGGACCATTAAGAGATACAATGAAATACTGGTAAAAATGTACTCGCGGATTGACTAGAATAGTATTTGAACATTATCATATTTTCATTCGAAATTTTTTTACTAGTAAGTACCTGAAAATTCGTATAGTGCGGATTTGACGCCGTCAGACATTTTTTTTTAGAAATTTAAAAAAGATATTGATTTCTAATTTGAAGATCGATAATAATTTTATTATTTATTTGTGAAATGATTGTACATAGTTGAATACCGAAATAATTAGGCATTCCAAACAAATGAATTACCAGTGGGCAGGTTTGGTATATCTAAGGGTGGCGACATATGGTGTATTTTATCTACTTTACGTAAAATCATAAATAATGGATTACATTTAAATATTTTATGTCAAACACAATAAAAATAATATTTAAAAAACCCACCTATACATTTTTTCATAAATTGGCAGGCTTGGCGAGTACTACTTCGAATAAAAATAGTGTCCAAGTTGCAAGACTATGTCGCTATCCCCTTAAATATACAAGAATTTCCCACTGGTACCTATTGTTTGACAGGTCGTTGGAATGCCTAATAAGCAATTAGGCATTCCAAACAAATGAATTACCAGTGGGCAGGTTTGTTATATCTAAGGGTGGCGACATATGGTGTATTCTATCTACTTTATGTAAAATCATGAATAATGGATTACATTTAAATATTTTATGCCAAACACAATAAAAATAATATTTAAAAAACCCACCTATACATTTTTTCATAAATTGACAGGCTTGGCGAGTACTACTTCGAATAAAAATAGTGTCCAAGTTGCAAGACTATGTCGCTACCCCCTTAAATATACAAGAATTTCCCACTGGCACCTATTGTTTGACAGGTCGTTGGAATGCCTAATTAGGCATTCCAAACAAATGAATTACCAGTGGGCAGGTTTGGTATATCTAAGGGTGGCGACATATGGTGTATTCTATCTACTTTACGTAAAATCATGAATAATGGATTACATTTAAATATTTTATGTCAAACACAATAAAAATTATATTTAAAAAACCCACCTATACATTTCTTCATAAATTGGCAGGCTTGGCGAGTATTACTTCGAATAAAAATAGCGTCCAAGTTGCAAGACTATGTCGCTACCCCCTTAAATATACAAGAATTTCCCACTGGCACCTATTGTTTGACAGGTCGTTGGAATGCCTAATAATTTAATGTGTCAAGCATGCTGTCATATGTCATTGCGGCAAAGTTTGGAAAAAATTTTGGAGATTACGAGACAAGTTTTTTTTTCAGTGGCGGACATATATTGCAATTGCATATATGGCACCTTTGTCATCATTCTTCACATATTGTTGGCATTAAATTACTAGCTATTATGTCGGTATTCAACTATAGTTTGGGGAAAGAGAAGTTGACCAAAGTGCAAGAGACTGTAGGGGGGCTAGCCAAACCTGGTAATATCAATGCAAACTTAATAATATATTCAAAAGAATTCAAATTTGATAGTTTCCCCGTTATCCAAAATTGCCAGATTTAATACTGTATGATTTCCATTTAGTCGATATATTAAGCATATTGGGATAAATGGAAACGAGCGAATAATGTTTACCTATGGTTAAAAATTAAAATAATACATTTATGGTGTTTTAATATTTGTTTTGCAAAAGAAAAACGATTTATTACTTATTTTTTTTTTTATTTTAGTGTTTTGTATACCTTTTCTGGGAATTGATGAGTTGCATTGACTAGGGATTCCGAGCGGAGGAGCGATACTACTGATCCTACTTTTTTTCTCCAAATGATTGAATCAGTTTTTTAGACGTTTAATGTAATTATTTGTCTAGCAATGCCAAAAAAATCCAGACCAAATAATTTTTCGGAAAATTTTATCATTTTTTTAGGTTTTTATGTATAAAAAAAATCGATAGATTCCAAATGTATTCGTGCGTAAGTTTTTACGGCCCTTATTATGCAATATAGTATTTTATACGATTTTCAGGTACTTACCTACTTAAAAAATTCATTTTAATGTAATTGTTATACCTACAATTCATTATAATTAGATATTAAGTATATTTGGCAAATTTTTCAAGTTTCCTGACCCAGCGCGAACCGAAATTTTAAATTTCTAAAAATAATACGTAAAAAATATATTTCATTGTATGAATTTTGGACAGTTTTAAATAACTTTCGACATACAAATCTACTTCTATCTATTCTTATTTAATAACATTTTAGTAAAATCGATTTTTAATACTAGCGCGATATTATCATTGACAAAGTCCTCTTTAGGTCCCAAATACATATAAGTTAAAAATGTCTTTATATCTTGATATTTTAAATAGATAAACGTCTAACAATTACTAACGACACAGAGGAAATTGGTATTAATTATCACAGATAAGGTAAATATCAGACTAGATATATATTATATATAAGGAATATGGTCGTCTATAATAATCATTGTGATAAGGTATAAATATAAAATATGCAAAATACTAAGGACACTTAATATTTGGTCACTTCTATGAGTATAGGGTAATGAATATTATCATCGAAATCACAATTATCCAATAGCGCTAAGCGTTTTTCCCAAACAACATCATTGTACCTCAAACGTTTCTTACAACTAAACCCTTTTTCCTCGGACTGTTTTATAAACATATCCAATGTATTGCCTCTTTGAGGCGCCATTATATAAGCCACGCCGGCGCTAGATAGGCAACGCCATAGGCAATTAATCAAATCGGCCCTGGCGTCGTCGAAAAATAGGCAATCAGCGCACAGGACGACGTCGTACTGTTCGCTTAGACTGTGGTTGGACCATTCGAGGATGCAAGATTTAACAGGAACAGTAAAATCGTTACATTTGAGTGTTACTTGAACGTTTTCTACGGACACCTTATTACCATCCGTCACCAGAACGTTTTTGGCGTTGCCATATCTAGCCGCGAACAGGCCTGCCAAGCAGGACATCCCCCCGCCTAATTCTATCACATTTTTGTCCCTAAATATTTCTAAGTTTGAGCAAACGAAGTATCCCAACGTCTCCTCCGACGGCCATATGCAAATGTTGCCAGTGTTGTTGAATCCCATCAGATCTTCGGCGGAAAAGGTTCTGTTTCTGTGGCCCACGTTCACGAAATACTCGCTATTGTTTATGCATATTGAATATTTATACCATGTGTATTTTTTGATTTGGTCATTGTTTTGGTTTTCTTTGGTTAGAACTTGAGGTAATGAGGTAAGTTCCTGCGTTTTCAAAAGCATGAAGGACGAGATTCGACGTACTGAATATTCATTGGTTGGACTCGATGGTTGGCTTTCCGTTGGACTCTAGCGAAAAAGAAAAATCTTCGTTTTGGACTTTTGAATACACACTTAACATCGAAATGATACGTTTTTCTTCTTCAGGATAAAATACCGCAACGACTTTGAACTAATTGGGTAATAGCTAATTTTTATATGTAATGAACAAGGATATTTCTCTAAATAGTCACAAACGAAACCACACAACTGAATGTTGGGACGTAGTATAGTTTTACATTAAATTGGCAGTATTTTGTTCGAGCATTTTAGTTTGAAACTTTTTTACTTCCATCGATAAGCGGGAAAGACATTATAAGCTAAAGTACTTAATACAGTTTAAGTTAATGTCATTTTCACCATCGTAGAAAGAGAAAAAATAGAAATAAAATTTTTTGTTTTCATTTTTGGTATATATAAATTATAAATTTATTTATTTATTAAGCTTTATATTATAATAGCCCTGATTTATGATCGCTAAACTGTTTTGCTCCTTTTACTTAAATTCAAATGATTATTTATTTCATTCATATAACTGGTAGAATAGAATATTTTCTTTTTCAATTTTTTTCTCTTCATACGCTTGGGTTTTTTGCATATTATTAATTATTGTCATCCACCAGAGTAAGTATTCAAACTAATGCTTTTTTTCCCAATCACTATAAATGATTTATGATTACTATTCTTTTTATTTTGTTTCAATGAGCAGGGGAATATGTCGCGAGCAAGGTTTCGTTTTTGCGAATTTATATTTTTTTCTAATTTATAAACATTCTTTTCTCTAAACATCGTATCTCATTTAAATGTCCAATCACTGATTGCACATTTTGTTGATTTTCGAAACTATGTTCTCAATACAGATTGCCATCCCAGACAACACACCAAATCCCAAAGATATCCACAGAATATATTTTGTGGATATCCAATATATCCACAGGATATCAGAAATATTCCGTGGATCTAATATGGATATCCAAATGTCCGTCTATATCCAGAATATAGAAGATATCCTATGATGGATATTCAGCAAAATATCTAATTAGTATCTTCCAGACAATACAAGAAATCCCAGAGATATCCACAGAATATATTTTGTGGATATCCAATATCCAAATATGGATATCCAACCAAATGTCCGTCTATATCCCAGGATATAGAATTCAGATATTCAGCAAAATATTTTATAGGTATCTTTAGTAGACATTCATAAGTAACCAAATGAATGATAACGTCGAAAGAAAATAGAGATAAAAAATATTTCCAACAATCTGTCTATGAGTTTGCCCACTAATGAAAAAGTCATCCTTATTAGGACTCTTCAGCAATAAATGGAAATTCTCGACTCCAGTCTCTAATAGAGTCTTAATGCGAAAAAATGTTCGATCAACTCAATTATGGCGGGTTGAGCATGAGTAGATACGAAAGTGGTATCGCCATCTATACTTAGGAAGCAAAATCAAAAATTACATCTAGTAGTTATCCACGATGGTTTGCGTCCGCGCTAAGACTTTGATATATGTGGATGTCCATGGGATATTGAATACACCTTAAAAAAATTAATTTTAAATATCTGAACGGTACTATTAGCCACAATGGCGAGCACAATGGCGTAATTTTTTAATAATTTGCTATATAATTACTATTATTTATGGACATTTGCATGTCTATAAATTACATTTTATGGATATAAAATAGATATCCACCATGGACTGGACATTCAGTGGATATTGGGATGTTCAGTAGATATCCAAAGGATTTGGTGTGCTGTCTGGGATGTTGTTGGTGTAACAGAAACCTGGCTAAATCCAGAAAATGAAGTCAATTTAATACATTTAGAAAATTATAAATTTATTCGTCTGGATAGACCAACCAGAGGCGGAGGTATGGGTATGTATGTAAAGAAAAATTTAAGTTAATTTTATCTGAGTGCAATGAAATTATAGAATAGGTATTTATGGATTAAACTATGAGTTGGAAATACTACTGTAGCAATTGGAACATTGTATATAGGCAACCAAAAAGTAATTATCTACAATTTTTAGATGAAATCAAAAATATGGTTCTGAACATTTTTTTCAAATTTTGATTCTTATCTGTGTAGGCGATTTTAATATTAATTAATTTTAAAGACAACCTGAGGTTATTTCAGATCTTCACGTTTCAGGGTCCCTAGATTACTAAAATATATTTCCCCATTCCGTCAGTCTGTTTGTTGGAGTGGTAGAGAAAACATTTTGTATGCAGATGTAACACTCTTATTTTCGTTGATTAAAAATGTACTAAAATATGCATAAAGCATTTTCTGGAAGTAAATGTTACTTAAACAGTTTTACTTATTTTATTACCTGTTACAATGAAATATTATACAGCAGCTGGAAGTGGAGATGAACTGAATTACCACAAAAATTAACTGTTACCCAATTAATTCAAACCTATCTGAATTTAGAGTTTGAACGAACCATTTTAATTAATGGAACAATTGGAAAACGTAGGTTACATATCAGAATAATACAATGCAAGAATGTTATAAAGACAATGTTTTTTTTTTATTAAAAAGCATAATAAAAATGAAAACAAATAAAAACACAAATTATTTAAAACTCAAAACAAAGGGGTTATAAAGTGGAGATGACTAATGTTGAAGGTGACTACAGATCACATGTTTAGTTTAATTTTTTCTTCTTAAAGGCAGCTTCTGGCCATATCTCGAGGACCATCTATCAGGACACTTTCAGAAATTGTTATACAAAATCGTCCAAAAGAAAATATGTTTAACATTGTAACCTGTCACTATGTCCCACAATATATCATTTACGAAATATAATTGTTTTTCAAAAAATAATCTATATTATTTTAAACCTAATTTTCAGGAAAATCATGATACTAAACTAATACTTATAGGATTTAAATAATTTAGTAAATTGGTGTTGGAGAAATGGACTTTCTTTAAATACTAATAAATTTTTGGTTATAAGCTTATATAAATGAACCCCCAAGACTCTGGGGAATATTTAAATAATTTTAGAGTGAATTTTGGTTAATCTCTTTCATTCTAAGAACACATAAAACTGAGTAGCCTGTAGTCATTTTCAATATTAAAATAAATGCCAGGAAATATATTTTTCTCAAACGCTATGTTTGTTGTTGTTTGTTGAATGGGTAAATGCCACCCTTAAAGTGAAGTAATACACAATAAAATGTTTGCTACATATGATCTACAGTTATTTCAATCTTTGCTACTAATAGAAGAGTATAATAAGTTTTTTTGAAACACGAACTGAATAACATTCTAAATCTAAGAATTTGGGCAAAATTCAACATTTCTAAAAACAAACAATTGTAGGAAATTATGATATACATGCATCAGCTGTCTTTATAGAACATTAACACTAGCAAAACAGTATAACTGAAAGCAAAATTGAATTTTGTAAGCTAATGGTTCATAACTATTGTTCTTTGATGTACAATAGAAAAATAGAAGGTGTGCCAAGAAATGTAATTAGCAAAGAAAAATCATGCTAAATACAGAATTTGACGAACATTTCTAATTTGGTATAAAGCAGAACAGTTGGTGCTCGATGCAAGAAAATCTAATTAAAAAAAATACAATATTTGGTATTAGGCAAGTTTTTCTGTTATCAACTTCATATTCATTGAAAAAAATTATTAATGGAAACATGCAAAAAATCAAACCATAAATCTAACACAATCTTATTTGAAAACATTATACCTTTAAGGCTTTAGCCAAAATAGCCCAACGGCGTCGAGCTACTACCCTCTTTTCGTTTGGAAATCGCAAAACTTCATGAAAATCATTTCCACATTTAGAATTTAATCCAAATATGTCTTTACTTTGGTCCATAGAAGGAGCATGTTAATAATGACTTGAAGATTGTCTGACTAGGCTGTAAAGCAGTTTATAAACGAAATCAATAATCAGTGTATGCTCAATCCTTCATGCTTTCAAATCAAAACTGACAAATTTTCAATTAGCCACAAATAACTAAGCAATCAGTGAATCGTTACAATATCAAAGACTTTTTATAGCAGGAAACTTACCTAAAACATTTACTAACTTTTTTCTAAGTGTAAATTCAAGTTACTTCAGTTAAGGTTTATTTAAAACTACCATTGTAAAATTTTTGGACGAAAATTAAAACATAACATGACCTTTTATTTGACTTTGACAATTATGACGTCAATGTCATGACGTCATATGTCATTTAACACCAGTATTTCAATAGGACCCACTTTTGCTAGCGTGTATTTTAAACTCAGATTTTAAATCAATTTTGGCCCTGTTTATAGTGGATACAACGTTTATTTAATATCAGAGGATATTAATAATTTCCCATCAACCATGCTAGTCAATAAATTCGTTCTAGTAGATTTAATAAAAACTGCTCAAAGACAAGTTAAAAGGTTTTTAAACAGTGATATCTATAGAACCTACCTGCTTTGCGTCACAGGCGGCTCGGAGGTTACTTTTGAAAGGCACACAATTCAAATATATATATTTCCATTAGAATACAAAAAGCAGAAATATTACATGGCAGTCTAATAGAAATATATATTTGTATTAAGTATTATTCAAAAGTAACCTCCTCTTAGACCACGAGCCGCACCTGCTTTGCGTTATGCTATCTTATCTTATCTTGTGTTTTTAACGTTGTCTGAAATTGTTTGAAAGCATGCTTTGAACGTGGATATTATGTGTGCCATCAGGGCCGCCAAGAGCCAGGTCGGGCCCCGGGACAATTTTCCAGGTAGGGTACAGAGATAATTTTATAAAAAAATTAGACCATTTCAATACATTTCTAAAAAAAAAGGTCTTTAAGCAAAAACTTCTCCTCCTTTTTAGTGGAATCTCTAAAAAAAAGGTCCTCCCTCTTGTACTGAACTTCTAAAATTATAAAAAAAGTACTCACCAAAGCTGTCGGGCCCCCCTTATGCAGCTGCCGGCCCCTCCTTGAGCCCGAGCCTCGAGAATTAGTCCCGGCTACCCCCTCCTCTTGTCGGCCCTGTGTGTCATTAAAGATGATGCCCCATCCCCACCTTCTATAGGATTACGAAATAACTTGAAAGATGGTAATAAATGTTTAAACAATTTCAAAATCGATACTGCAAAAATACCGTTAACGTTTCATTAGCCACGACTTACTTTTAATATTTGGTAGATCGGTTATAATCGTGTATTTTCGTATATTAAAGGAGTTTATTGGTTGAAAACAATTCTTTGTAAGGTTTATGTTTGCATTTTCAATTCTAATAAAGTTTTCATTCGATTTCCATTTGTCAGTTTTTTGTCTTTTGTCAGTGTCGTCCTCTTTATTTTTTCTTGTTTTCCTGTCAAATGAAATTTTTCTAGTAACTTGTAAATAGTGTTAAGGTTCATTTTGTTTATATAATGTTTTCATACATTTGAAATTGTTAATAAAGGTGTTTTTTTATGAGATGGCTTCTCTCTCTTTGCCTCGAGTGCTTCATCCAAGGAAAACCAGCCTAGAAATAGAGAGAGAAATCTTTGAAAAGTCACAGGTATGTTTTTAATTTATGTTATAATGCCCTTTTAATTTGTTTATTAATGAACAGGAAATAGTGTACAGTTAATAAAATTAATCATTTCCACTTAAAAAGGATGTTACAGTTTCGTAAATCTATTTGTTTTATAGCAATATCCTGAGTTGATTCATTCGCAAAAGTACCACCCATTTACGAACAAATGGTTCATAATACTTTAAAACATGTGTTAAAAATAAATGTTTCCCTCAAGAAATGCATTTGTAATTGTAATTAGGTCGTTAAAGAATACTGATCAACATATTAATTTGTTGTTAACGAATAATTAAATGATATACCGCTAAAACTGTATGCATTACTCATTTAGAATAAATTTTAAAATTAATTAAAGTGTAGGCGGTATACGAGACAACCTTTCTATCTTTATCAATTAGAATTTTTTATTGTATGACTAAATCATTGTCTGTACATTGAACTTGATATATATTTTAGCAGATACAAAATACAGATTACAATTTAACACTTTCAATGCCAAGTACATCCAAATGAGTTGTTTTTTAAATTTGTATGAAGGTATAAAACTAATGTAAGTATGCTAGGATAATATTCTTAGATCTGTAAGGACTACCTATACCTACACAAAAAAAAACACAAATGTTGAAATTTTCTTAAAAAAAAATTGTTCAGCAATTTGAAACTATCTTTTTCTAAGATTGACGAACAGAAATTACGGTATTTTTAATTACAGAAACATTAAAATGTATCTATGTTGTATTTTCATAATATAATAATAAACCCCACAAATTATACAGAAAAAAGCTTTAGCATATTTAGCCTCAGTTGGAGTTCTTGTGATAGCAGCAGAAAGCTCAAGTGTGACTCTATTCCAAATACATTAAGAGTAGAAAAATTATAATAATTGGAAGATTATGTTGGCGTAATAATATCTTTTAATTTTGCAATAAAATATATTGTCAATTTTTGAAAAGTTAAATATGTAGATAAGTACTCTTGTTATTACATTACAAATGTTTGAAATAGTTGATTGATTGAAATGGTATGTTCCATTTACACTATTTTTCAGATTTTTCAAATACCTTTATATAAAAAACAATACAATTCACTAGTTTAAAAGTGCATTATTAATCTGGTTTAATATTGTAAGTGGTTTGTAATTATATAAAAAAAAATCATGATATTTGATTTTTTAAAGTATAATATTTATCATAAATTCGATAAAAAATTGGTAGATTTTAAATCCAATTAGAACACCTTTAAACCCTTTATTCAACTGCCATACGTCATTATATATAGGATTGGTTGATTTCAACTATATTTTACAGTTTATATTTTGTTTTGTATTTTCCTTCTTTTCTATAGCATCTATTTTATTCATGTAAATAGAATTTTTGTATACTAGGTTTAACCTACTTCCAAATAAATATTATGTTCCCCTATTAAATTAAATTTTGATAAGGAACTTATCAAGATTGGCTCATTATTGAAATAGGAATTTTATGGGGAATTCATCAGAATTATTATGAATGTCCCAAATCACGATCTTAACCCACTCTATTAAAAAAAATTGGTCAACTCAAAGATAATTCTTATATAGATAAGAGTAACTTATTAGAGAAAAAACTCTATAGTTTCCAGTTTTCATGCCTCAAGTGTCAAAAAACGACAGATAAAAAATGTCGTTTGCCCTTCCTCTAATGAGACGCTTATGATCACAATAAAAAAATTGTTCCTGTTGCTTTCAATTGGCCATAATAGACTAGGAGCTCATCGAGAATTTTCAAGGGGTTATTACATACTACCATATGTAACAACTTTAGAAACTATGCTGTCAATTTTTGTTACAGATGAGTACACATAAGCTGAACCTACCACCAAAGGGGGGGTAGTTTTCGGTAAAAAAATAATGACCTACAAAATAGTGATAGTAATAGCCAGGAAAAGTTTTATTTTTCCAAAAATTTTTACCTGACTACAGTACAGTACGGATCGTTACATAGATAACTTTTTTAACAACGCCGTACGTATTTACCGATACAGGGGGGTTAGAAATAGAGGGCGCAACTCTATTTGTAAGTAGTATATTGAGGGTGACTTGAACCAACATCAAATTCACTGATTCTAATTCTATTTTATAAAATAATGATATTTTGGCCATGCCTTACAAGCGCTGCTTGTTAATAATATGTATGCATATGGCGCGATGGGAAAGTTGGGTGTGCATAATATATACACATCACAGTCAACGTGTTAACTCAGGTTTCTAATAAAGATAAAATAACATTCAGTCAAAGAAAGCTAAGTCACGCAATCTATTAATTATTACGTGTGTATCATACACTGTTGCCAGGTCATTCGGCTCTAAATTACATTTTCCTCCATTTCACGAACTTTAAAATGAATATCGTCCGAATTATTAATGCCTTGCGGAGTCTCAATCAAATAATTGAAAGAATTGTGAAATTATTGTCAGTGCATTCTGATAGTACATTGTATAGAACACCAAAATTATCGTATAAAACGATAAATTATTGTACATCTGGCAACGTAGCGACTCTTGTATTATACATAGGGAAAATAAATCGATAATTGTGTAGTTAACTGGAACGACGCGAGGCAAATATATCTAAATCACCAGGCAATAAAGGACAACATACAACTGTATACTGATTCAAAAATAGGTACCTCTAAATTAATCCAATCATTTACTTACTTAAATCATCTCTAAAACAGAGTGGCAACATTGTTTTTATATGGTATTCTCCCTGTGAAATCTATTTAAAAATGGACAACAAGTACTGATGGCATAGTTTCTAAAGTTGTTATTACATATGGTAGTATTTATTTTTAAGTAATTTACGCTGGGTCAAATGATCCCTTGAACATTCTCGATGGGCTTGTAGTCTATAAAATAGGTACCTAGTATTTATACAAAATTTGATCATTTAAAATCTGAATTTTGGAGAGTAAAGAAAAAAAAAACAAATATTTTTATTAAACTTTGTTGACTTCTAGTGGTCTAACGAAGCAAATTGGTATATTTATATAGGTAAGTTTGATTAAATCAACTTATTTGGAGCCCATAAATCTGTGGTAACTTCATAAATATATACTTAATTTCTGGACATCCTGTATATACTTTTTGCTCAATATGTTCTATTTTTCACTCATTCATTTTGTAATCTTTTTATCATATTTTTAACTGCGTGTTTAAATTATTTGTCAATAAACTTTGATGCAAAAAAAGTAAACATTTTTTCTAAACAAAACTAAATTAATAATAGTTTTTAAGCTTCTGTCTTTAAAAAAATATTTTCGATTTACAATATAAATGCGGATTATTGTAATAAAAGTAGGTACCCAAAAATAAATCCAATCCTGCCACGTCCTTATCATTTTATTTATTTATCAGTATCAGGTTGACGACTCAATTCAGTACCTGTATCTAATGATCCAGTCAAACAATTTTATTTTCAGATTATGCATGTGTATTGATACCTATTATAGCTATACATAATTTTTTAACAATAAGCATTTCGCTGCATGCCTTTTAGCCATAATATAGAGTATACCTCACGGAAACATGGCTAGAGAGTATAGTCCAAGGGATTTAGAGAAATACGTGAGTAAAAGGTGTTTTTTTAAATTATCTGATTGTTGTTTTGTAACTAAATCTGGTGGATTTTTTGCTTTATTTTAGCGATTGTCACGTCTTTGTAAACAGTGTACTAGCAGGTGTTCTGTGTATCGCTAGGGAGAAAAAATTGCATTGCTGAGTTAGCTGGTAGGTAAGCAGTCAGTAGTATGCTCGAATTGCTTTTTTCTAAGTTGTTTATACAGAGCGGACAGTCGGTGTCACATCGTTATATATTACGAATTCTGTTTTTGCTCTACAGACTTTTTAAAGATTCCTCCAGTTCAAGAATGGAATTTAATTAATATTTATTGATATGGTTCAAAAAAAGTTATTTATTATTATACCGGTACACAATAAAAAAATTGTCAGTACATTTGACTAGACCCACCTAGGGTTATGCGGTGAATCCGAATTTGAGGTCTATTTAGTCCGAACACCCTCAAAATTTTGAGTAAATTGTAGTTTTTCGCGTTTTTTTGCCATTTTTAGCGGTATTTTACAATTTACTCAAAATGTTGAGGGTGTAGGTGCTAAATGGATCTCAAATTCGTATGCAGCGCATCGAAATACATAACCCTAGGTGGGTCTAGTCAAATGTACTGACCACTTTTTTTGTGTGTGCCGGTGTTTACCAAATTTCAACAAAATATCAAAAGCAGTTTCCATGAATTTAAGAAGAAAAAAAAAAAGACAATATGAGTTTTTATTAGTTTAAGGGTATTTCTTAAAAAAAAAGAATGGCATGTGGCATATCGTTTAAAAGATAACTTGATAGGTTAATAATATGTAAAAGTCCAAGATGGCCGCCATAAGAAATAACTATAGGTAACTCGAAAAAAGAAGACAATTTGGATTATTTGGTGTGCAATAATTATTTTGAAAAATGATCCATATTTTATAACATTAATACTCTATAAATAAACATTTTCATTTAACCAACCTTCTATCTCTCTAAGCTAGATATCATTTAAAAACTCGAATTTTGGGCACAGTGTATAATCATTGCGAAATTAGAGGGTCATATTTTAACAGTGTAAAATAGGAGTAAAAGTTCATGTAAACATAGGTCCGAAAACGTTTCGTTTTCGAGATACAGGGTGTTACAAGTGAAGTCTTAATAGCACATTTTGGTAAATATTTTCTAAAATTTCTTTAGTTACTGATTTTCCAAAGTTAAAAAAAGTATAATTTCTGATTTCACAGGCCTACTAATTATTGTTCACACTTTCGAATAAGAAAACATTACTTATCATGAAATTTTCAAATGCTTTTTTCTTGAAAATGGTGCGTCCTAGCGAGATGCAACAAAAGTTGATTTATTATAAAGAAAACATTGGTTTTTCAAATTTTATAGTCAAAAATG